CCTAGGCATAGATGATTCCTGTGTAGACAGATGGATTTTTTTTTTTCTGTTAAATAAGTAAATGAATGAAGGAACAATCTGCAGGCTCTGGCAGAAGCTCCTGTGAGCACTGGAAGGTAAAGCAGTGCCAGAGATGAGCAATCGTAGTCATAGGAGCAAAATTGTCACAGCTCAATGAATTACTTCATTAGATGTCAGGCTTTTCTGCTTCTTGGAACAAGAAGTTGTAATTTCTGTTGTGATGTTGCTGAAAATGTGTAAATGCTGTAGGAATGGAGCTTTTTTGTTTCTGTCTTGCTGTATTTTGGAAATGTGTGATTCAGCCTTTTCATTTTCCTTACAAGTTCTTAGTACTAATACTGTGTATGATTTTACGGATTTTTTTGTGGAAAATAAAAGTTAACTGAAAACAAGTAGTTAAAACTAAAACTGGAGTTCAGAAAAAAAAAATAATCCCAAAGCACACATTCCAAAATAGATTTACAAGGTGAGCACGAGAAACAAGTACATGTCATATGTTGATATTCCCTTCCTCCCCCAGGGCTGGAGCAGTGCCTACTCAATAGAATCAGTCATCATGCAGATCAATGCCACTTTAGTCAAAGGAAAAGCCAGAGTACAGTTTGGAGCCAATAAGGTAAATGTGCTGTTTATCAATTATACAAATCACTGTTAGGCTTCCATTTCTCTGTTGACTTGCACAGAAGATGTTTAATGACAGGACTGTCATTGCAAATACATTTGCATTTTGAGTTGTTTTGGTGTCCAGTGCACCTGTATGAGTATTTTATAGGCAATTAAGAGTTTCTGTAATTATGAGCATATAAGTTTGATAAAACCTTGGGATGGGCAGGGGTTTGAAGTAGTTTAGACTTTACTATCCTTGCTTTGGCAAGGGAGGGAGGGAAGGAGGATCAGAATTGGGAGGATTTGGACGTTCTGGCTCTGAGAAGGGCTGTAGGTGACAGCCAGGATCACATACACTCGTGGTAAGAAGTTCTCCTCCTATTGCTGGACTAAGTTTCATGAGAGGGAAAAATAATAACATGCAGATACTTCAGAGCTCACCATCCAGCATTAACTGGAAGCACAGTTCAGTTCAAGTGTGCATGCTGGTAACAGACCATAACTTAAAAGGCCTGGAAGAATTAAATGCTGCTTTCAAATGATGTTTAAATTTTTAAGGCAGCAAAATTGTCACTTGAGTGTCTGTTGTTAAGTAGAAAATATGAGAAAATATTTATCTTGATGACCTTGTACTGGAAAGCCAGGAATGTTCCAGCATTGTGCATGGTTTTGATTTGTAAGCCCACTGTAGAGTTGCCTTGTAAACTGTTTTTAAGTCTTCCATGTCTAGGTGCAGGTTTTTATGTTGGTTTCTTTTCTCCTTTCAGAATCAATATAATCTAGCAAGAGCACAGCAGTCCTATAAGTCACTAGTACAAATCCATGAGAAGAATGGTATGTACATTCTTGTGACTTTGTCCTTGTCTGCACAGCACCCTGGGATCTGCTGTTTGGCCACAGAGAAACTGGAGTGACAGAGTGTCTTAGGTTGGCTTGGGAAGATTGTAAATGGTGTTTCCTTCTCCTCTTGCACTATGAAAACCAGAGTGCTTAAAGGAACTTGACTGCAGCCATTTCAGCTTTTCCAATTTACAGCTAGTGTTTCCACATGTTCCTACTGTTTCTTGAAAGGCAGCTCCGTTTCATTTTCAGCAAGTTGGTCTAGGGACTTCATCATTACTGAAACTTTAAAAGGGTCTTATTTATTAGTGAATTACCTGCTGGAAGCTTGTCCCTTCCCTGAAAGGCTTTGTTTCAATGTGGCAAGACCTTAGTGTAGTAATCATAAAGGAAGAGATAAGATGAAAAGAAAGACCCTAGAATAAAAAAAAATTCAAGAAGTCCAAGTGAGGTGTCCTGGATGGAAAACTCTACAACAGAATAGGAAGACACCTGTGTTTAGGGGTTTTTTTACCCTATTTTTACACCATGCAACACTCTCTCTGCTGCATAAAAAATTGCTTCAGGTGTAATTGCATTTACTTGTGCCAGTGTGAGAAGACAATAAGTGACCTGAGGCTCTAAAAGCTTTAAGTAGCTTACAGGTTATGTAAAGGTAGTCAGCAGAATTGGTATCTGGTCTTGTGATTGGGGAATTAGTCCAGTTCCCTGTTCTGTGACGTTCTTTGGTGTGGGTTGGACGCAGTGTCCTCTGGGAATTGGTGTTGCTGAGAACACGAGGGAGTGTTTGTGTGACTGCAGTCAGAGCCTCAGTTTCCCTGCGGCTGAAATGGAACATAACACCTTCTCTGCTGTTGGGAGGAAGGTCAAAGATAATGACTTTAATGTGCTTTCCAGTTGTATGAGAGTTTGATCTTGCCATTAAGAGCCATTTGCTGTTTTAGGTCCCTACAAAGGCCAGCATGGCTGGCTGTTTACTGCTAGCTGTGTGCTGGCCTTGGCCAGTGATCACTCCTGCACCAAGAGCTGCACACAAAGCACTCACAGCACCTCATGCTGCTGGGAATGATGTCTTTAACTTAGACCTGCTGCCTGCTCTCTGGGACAGCATAAATAGGCTCCATAGTCAGTGTAGACACAGTTAGAGGAAGTTTTACAATAGAGGCTGGGAGAGTTAAGATTGGAGCTGTGGAGGTGGCTAGAAAAAGCTGTGCACTCTTGATCAGGTATGATTCAGCTGCTAAACATTCCAAATTGTGTCAGGAGACCAGTTATTCAACTGACATTTCAGAGCTTATTCCTACAGGAAGATTTACAGAAGAAGGGTAAACTGTGCAGCTGTTTGTGCATGCCTAACTCTGCAGTACACAAAATGGGATTTATATAAGTGTGTCCCAGTGTAGTTGTGTTTGTATGTCTGTGCATTAAGTGGCTTGAAGGGGGGTTTACCTGTGTTCCATGAAGTTTTGTCAGCAGTGTTCCTCCTTCAGCTTCCTTTGTCGGTGTCCAGTTTGTCCAACTTGGGATAGCTGCTGCCACAAAATGCCGCAAACTTGGATATATTTAATAAATGCACTCCCAAGGACTGGCTCTGATCCTGGAATATGCCACATGCTTTATGTCCCACTGCTGACCAGTAGCATTTAGGGCACTGGGTCTTGCTGAGCTGGCCTGCTTTAAGGGGGAAGGAAGGAGCCAGGTTAGGCTTCCTCCTCCCACAGATGGAGTGTAGGACCAGCAGTGTCAGTCCCTAACATGTCTCTCTGTTCTCCACAGGCTGGTACACTCCTCCAAAAGAAGATGGCTAACGCTGAGGACTATTGTCTACCTGGACCAATGTCAAGAAAACAAGCTCTTTTTTTATGTTTTCCAACACACAGACTCAAGCTATGAGTGCCCCTATAACAGCTGTACTGAGGACTTTAGCTATTAGATAAGTTAGTGGATAATCTGTCAACTGACACGTACAGTATAAGTTACAGCCTTACCATTCCGCTCTCCTTAGGTATCTGGACTGAGCAGTTTGGGCCTTTACCACATTTGTTCTTATGGATTAAGCATATTTGGGCCACGCCCTCCCTTCTCCTCGTTTTTTTATTTGAAAGCATAAGCTCTCCCTACAGCAGGCTACCGACTTACTAAAGATCATTCAGTAGGAGTGAGTTGTTCACACACTTTTGTGTATTTCTTACCTTTTGCAAAATGCAGACTGCAGAGACTTTGCGTTGTATTGTTTCATTTAAAGCCAAGAAGTTTAATACGTTGTTTAATACCGTTTTAGGAAGTGTCAGGTCTTGCAAATCACAGTAGTTTTTTTTTTTTTCTGGTCTGAAATGACGGCGTTTGTAGTATTTCCAAATTAATGATATAGGAAAAACACATGTATGTTAAGTCATTAAACATTTTTCATGGCTGTATGAGAATACGAACTGTTTATTGGAAAAGATGCTCTTTGTTTAGATTATGTTAAATTTTTTGTTTAGCTTTGGGGGTTTTTCCCTTTTTTTTTTTTTATTTTTTTTTTTTTTTATTTGTTTTGTTTTTATGCAGAGCAAGGCTGTGCCAATAAAACCTTGTAACTAGTCACTTCCACTGGGGCATCAGAACTTGCTGGGCTGTTCCTGCTACTTGTTGGCTCAACCTCCTTAACAAGAAGAGCCGCAGTATGAAGCTTGAAGTTATTTAAAATACTAAAAACCTTTTTAGGTGTTCCATTTTATTAACGGGTTGTTGCAATCATTTGTAAACTAATGAACTTATAAAGTGATTGGCACAAATCGAGATGAAAGTCCTTGAATGAAAAATTTTTATATAAAAGCTACAATAAAGTACCAAGAACACATCATCCGCTTCAGAGGCGTTAAGAGATGTTGCCATAGTCATGACAGTGGTTTTGTTATTGAGAGACTAATGGGAACTGTTTGTTCTTTATTAGGAGACGATCCTGGGTCTGTGAACTTACACAATTTCATTGCCTTACCGAAATCGACTCTATTTTGGTTGTAGTTTTAGTCATTAGGCCTTCGCACTGCTCGGGGCCGAGCTAAGGGTGTGTTCCGTGGATTCAGCACTTCCACGAGTGCAGAAGCATGTTTTTGTTTTTGTTTTTGTTTTTGTTTTTTTAGTTGACTATCAACCTTGTGCTCTTCTCTCTATCAGGCACCCGCGGGTCCTTGTGCATTTGCTTCTAGATCCAGTTTTTAGCTCGAAAGAAGCGATGGGCGAGGTTTGGCACCGCTTCCCGTGGGCGGGGGGTGAGGGACAGACCCGGCCGCGCCCGCCCCCGCCCTCGGCGCATGCTTCGGTGTGGGTTCCACTTCTCCTGGCAGAGTTCCTTGGCAATGTACAGTACTTTGTAAACTTGCATCAAGTTTATAAATAAAAAAAGCATTTTACGAAGCGCTGTGTCCGTGCTGGAGCGCGGGGGGCGAGGGGAGGGGACGGGCGGGGTGTGTGAGGGCGCGGCGGGTCCTCCGCGCCGCCAGGGAGCGCCCTTGCGGCGGCGCGGCCGTGGCGCTCGCCGAGGGGCAGCGGCGTGTGTGGCGCAGGGCGGCGGGGCCGGGAGGCGCTGGGGCCATGGAGGCCAAAGGCGGCTTCGTGCTCGCCAACCTGGCCGAGGTGGTGGAGCGCGTCCTCGGCTTCCTGCCCACCAAGGCGCTGCTCCGCGCCGCCTGGTAAGGCCCGGGGCCGCGGGGGAGCGGGGCGGGGCGGCGGCCGGCCGCGGTTGGCGGTGGCGGCGCGGCCGACGCGGGGTGTCGGTGCTGTGTTGCAGCGTGTGCCGGCTGTGGAGGGAGTGCGCCCGGCGGACGCTGAGGGGCCGGCAGCGAATCGCCTGGGTGTCGGCGCTGGAGCCGGGCCCCGCCGACAGCCACGCGCTGGTGCGGGCGCTGAGCCGCGAGCTCGAGGTGAGGGGCGCGGGGGGAGTTGGGTGTATGTGAGGGGAGTGTGGGGGGTTGTTGTGTGTTTGTGTGAGGGGAATGTGGGGGGGAGAGTTGGGTGTGTGTGAGGGGAGTGGGGGTTTGTTGTGTGTGTGTGTGTGAGGGGAATGTGGGGAGAGTTGGGTGTGTGTGTGAGGAGTGTGGGGGTTGTTGTGTGTTTGTGAGGGGAATGTGGGGAGAGAGTTGGGGGTGTGTGTGGGGGAGTTGGGGGTGTGTGAGGGAGTGGGGGAGGGAGTTGGGGATGTGTGAGGGGAGTGTGTGTGTGGGGGAGTTGGTGTGTGAGGGGTATGGGGGGAGTTGGGGGTGTGTGAGGGGAGTGTGGGGGGTTGTTGTGTGTTTGTGTGAGGGGAGTGTGTGGGGGGAGTTGTGTGTTTGTGTGAGGGGAGTGTGTGGGGGGAGTTGAGTGTTTGTGTGAGGGGAGTGTGTGGGGAGAGTTGTGTGTGTGGCTGGGGGTGTGGGGGGTGTCTGTCAGCGCCTTCGGGCAGTCCCTGAAAGGCTCCCCCCGCTCCTCCCAGGCGCCCGGCGCAGGGAGCGCGTTCGGAGGGACAGTTTGGTGCTGGGTGTTAGTTTAATACACTGATGGAAACGCCGCGGGTTTCCAGGTCAGGGCAAGTCTGTTCATCTCGGCGATCTCGTTAAGAGATAAACCCTTTTTTAGCCTGGGAGACACTGGGAACATTGCAGGATTTCTCTGGCAGGGTTCTTTTCCAGTGTTAACTAGTGGTGGATCTTCACCACAGAAAGATTCCTGTCAAGTTGTTAAGCACTAAACAGAGACCTCAGCAGATGAGTGTTAAACCAGCGGGGACTGGAAAGGGCAGCAGCACCTCCACGCTGTTCCCAGCATCAGCACTTAGGGAAGCCAACAGCCAGGAATAGGAGTTCAGACAGTGTTAAAACCAGCAGTCGTGGGGCCAGGCTGCAGAGCTGTGGTTGCTCGTGTGGTGTTTGGGTCGGTTCCGTGCCCGTGCTGCCCGTTCATCAGATGGGTCAGGGCAGTGCTGGGGCTGAGGGAGGTGTCCTGCTGTCTGACGGGAGCTCGGGGTGGGGGCCGGGGCCGTGTCCCCTAGGAGCGATGTCTCCTCGTTTTGTGCCGCCGCTGTTCCCTCCCTCCCTCCCTGTCCTTGCACTCCTTGCCCCGTGTCTCCGCAGAAGGTGCATGTGCTGCCCCAGACCGTGCTCTACATCGCCGATGCCGAGACGTTCAGCGGCCACGAGGAGTGTCACGAGCAGAAGAAAGGTAACACCTTGCCCTGAACTTGCTGCCCTTTCCAGAAGTGCTCGGGGTGGAGGACGAGGAGCAGCGTCGGCTGAAAGGGAATCTGCCGAGTGTGGATTTCAGCGGGAAGTAAATCTTTTGCCAAAAGCATGACCCCCGAGTCTTGCGTTCGTGATGTGAAGTAGCCTGTGGGTGTGTGTTAACGTGCACAGATGGGCTCGTTTCCCTGCCCTGGAGGACACTGAGTCCCTGGTGCCGGCAGCCCTGAGCTCGTACACAGCTCAAGACCTGTGTGCTGTTACCAGGGCGGCCACTGATGGGCAGCATTGGCTCGGCAGGACGGGGTTTCTGCTCACAACACACTTTTACTTCTCTCTGATGTTTTCTTGTCTCTTTTTCTTATTTTAACAGCCAGAAAAAGAAACAGTAAAGAAACAGCACTCGCCCTTGAGAAGTTGTTGCCGAAGCGATGTCAGGTTCTTGGACTGGTCACCCCAGGGATTGTAGGTAGGAGCAAAATGTGTGATTTTTGTGAGAGATCAGCTTGTTTAGCACTGGCTTCATTTTTAAGGAGTTCACAGTGTTGCTGCTCCTTGACACGTGGAGCTTACTTCATGTATTGCAGTTATAATTAAAAGGATTGATTTAATCAGGCAGGCAGCTTTTCCTGGCACTAATGGACTTACTGAATGTTTCTTGGATTTATGTATCTATTTCAGTCATATTGTGACTGACTGTACAGGAATCCTTGGTGTATACCTGTTTGCTGTGGTCTAGCAGGAGGCATGTGCAGTAACTGGATAATTCACAGCCTCCCTTGGCAGGCTTTTTCTCATTGCTTCCCTTTTTCATCATTAGAAAGTTGGGGGTTTTTATAGTTTCTCACCTTAAATTCTACTCCCACAGCATAAGTAGGGTATTTGATTGTTGCCACTGCCATAATTCAATAATACACTCCCAATATTTGTGTCAGTTTGGTTTATACTGTCATGACATGCTTGTATAACACCTTGAAAACCTGAGCATGTTTGTGTGCCTGGAGAAGTTGGTAGGAAGACCTGTGCTTGTTTTCCTCCTCTTTTATATTTGGTGTGACTGGGGGGAAATGTCCAAATATATCCATTTCTCCTTGTCCAAAGTGACTTTGGCACAAGCCATAGCCAGCAGAACTTCTACGTGTTTCATCTTTCCAAAAGATTATAAAAAAACCCAAAAAATCACACCAGTTTTCAATTAGAGAAGTTGTTATGGAAATAGGTTGTCATGTTTTACATCACCTGAGCTGTTCAGCCTCTTTCAATTCTTGTTACAGTGTAGATGAAAGTATTAGGGGCCCTGACCACAAGATGCCTGGTTTTGTGTCTTTGTAGTTACCCCCATGGGTTCAAGCAGCAATCAGCCTCAAGAAATTGAAGAGGGCGAAGCTGGGTTTGCTCTGTTGTTTCCCAAAATCGATGGGGTGAAAATTCACACCTTCCATTTTTCTAAAGATGTGAAGAACAGGGTCTTTGATGAAAACAAATTTGCTGAAGCAGGTATGTCCTTTTTCTCTCCTTTGCTTGGGTTTTTGTGCCATGCTGTGCTGCTCCAGTCCGGAGTGATGTGTGGAACCAGCAGCTTCTGTGCTGGCTCCAAGAGCCCTCTGGCTCTGTAGGGCTGCAGCTGGTAACTGCATCTCTGGAGCACTGAGGTTAAGTTATCCTGAGTATCAGTCTCAGATTACTTCAAGTTAGGTTCCAAGAGGAGTTGTTAGGTTTCAAGCAGCTTCTAATTGGTTAAAAATATTCCAGTGGGAATTATTCCTATCACTACAGTTTAGAAATGAGTGAGGAGGAGCTGCTTCTCTTCTTCTCCAAAATGACTTGGCATTTAGATCCCCAATCAGGTGTTGTAGCCAGGAAAGGCAGAGCAGAAGGCAGCACATTTCAGTGAATACAGTTCATGTTCTTCACACTGTGTCCTCAGCAGAGTAGGTCATTTATGAAGAGTAATGTCAAAAGGGTCTCTTGAGTCTCCTAGGAACCTGGGGGATTCTTCCTTGGGATAGGAAATGGGCTGAAGTGTGGAATTTATTTCATTTTCAGATTAAAGCTATTTACTGTATTATGGTTCTTGAATAACTTGTATGCCTGGTTCTTACCTGTAAGACTGTCAAGTAAAACTGAAGAGCTGTGGTAAAACTCACGTGCTGTGGTAAAGGAGTGGAAAGCTGGAGGAAGCAGATGCAATCTGTTTTTAACTTGCAAGGTTCTTCCCAGAAATTCTCTCTCAAGTGGGGAACACAGCCCAGCTCCCACCTGGGCAGGTTGTGTCTTTTCTTCCCAACTGCAGCAACAGAAAGCCATTAGTAAAGGTGTGATTTATTATTTGAGGAGAGACTAGGAAGGCTGGGTTTCAGGGCTCAGGATTTAAACAGAACAGAGGATCAATGTTCGGTTTTGTTTGTAGGTCTGAAGAATAACCCAGATCTCCGTGTTGTCCTTCTGTTTGGCTACAACTCCTGGAAGTCTGGAGCTACTCGATTTCTTCATCAAATAGTCAATCCACTGAATGAGAAAAGTATCATCCTGGCTGGAGGACAAGTGGAGAGCTTTACATCACTGACCTCTGAGAAGTAGGTGTCTTTTTCAAGGTGAATGTTAAAAATTATTTAGAATGGGAGAAACCCTGCAGGTCCATAGCCTTCTAGCTGTATTATGCTTGAATCCCCAGTAATGGATGTGGAAGCTTTTCCTTGGGAAAGGTTGCTAAAAAAAGGAGAGTTGCTAGAACGCGAAGGCTTTGGTTTGTTTCTCACCTGTGGGTGGTGTCAGAGCCTCCTGGGTGTTGTCTCCTGTGAAGCCCCCCATGCAGCAGCAGCAGTCAGTGGGCGGGCAGTGATCTCCCGGCACGCTCTCTCACCCGCTGCCCGTTGCCTTGCAGTGCCCACGCCCAGCCCGGGGACGCCTGTGGGGTGGTGGGGCTGGCCTTCAGCGGGCCCCAGATCCAGAGTGCCACCGTGCTGCTGGACCAGGACGTGGCCGACGAGAGGACGGCGGAGGCGGCCATGCAGCGCCTCAAGGCCGCCAACATCCCCGAGCACAACTCCATCGGCTTCATGTTCGCCTGCGTGGGCAGGGGCTACCGGCACTACAAGACCAAGAGGAACATGGAAGCGGATGCATTCAGGAAGTTTTTTCCAAACGTGCCCCTCTTTGGCTTTTTTGGACACGGGGAGATAGGATGCGATCGGATAGTTACTGGGAATTTCGTATTGAGAGAGTGCAATGACATTAAGGATGACCTGCTGCACGGTTACACGACCGTTATGACTCTTATTCATTTCGGTTCAACTAAAGCAAACCAAGCATAAGTAAGGTTTAATGCTGCAGTGAGCTGTTTGTTTCCTTCCAGAGAGCTGGAGAAGTCTGGGAAAGTGGACATCTTGCAGTCAAAGCCCCCTTCCAAAGCGTAAACATCATTTCGGTAACGTTATCAAGTCTTGTAGTTGCAATAGAGTTTAATATACTATCTGCAAGAAAGCCTTGCATTCTGTGTAATCCCCTGTACACGTTAGAATTGCAGGAAATTATATTTGATGGAATTCTGCAATTGAAGAAAGCCTCTTTCTTCCAAAATGAGAGTGGTTTGCACAAATCATAGAATATGCTGACTTGGAAGGGGCCAAGTCAGGGTCATCGAGTCCACTTCCTGGCCCTGAACAGGACATCCCCAAGAATCCCACTGTGTGCCTGAGAGTGTTCTGAAACTCAGACAGGCTTGGTCCTGTGACCACTTCCCTGGGGAGCCTGTTCAGTGCCCAGCCACTCTGGGTGAAAAAGTTTTCCCTGATATCCAGCCTAAACCTCCTGGTTCAGCTTCATGCTGTTTCCTTGAGTCCTGTCACTGTCACAGGAGTGAAGAGATCAGTGCCTGCCCCTCTGCTGCCCCTCGGGAAGATGTTGAAGATCCCAGTGAGGTCTCCCCTCGGTCTCCTCCAGCTGAACACACAAAGTGGCCTCAGTGTCCTCACATGGCTTCAAATCAAGGCCCTTCATCTTCACTGCCCTCCTTTGGACACTCTAATGGCTCAGTCTCTTCCTTACATCGTGTCCCCACAGCTGCCCCACAGTATTGCAGGTGAGGCCACCCCAAGGCAGAGCAGGGTGGGACAATCCCCTCCCTGATGCCCCCAGGACAGGGTTGGCCCTCCTGGCTGCCAGGGCACTGCTGACTCAGGGCCAACTGGCACCCACCAGCACCCCCAGGGCCTTTCCTGGCACTGCTGACCAGCACTTGTCCTTGTTAAACTTCCCGTGGTTGGTGATGGCCCATCTCTGATTCGTGGAGGTCTCTGCAGGGCCTCTCTGCCCTTCAGGGAGCTGAAGCTCCTCCCAGTTTAGTGTTGTCAGCAAACCCAAATAGCAACGTGTAGAAAGAAACGGGACTTTGGGGTGCTCTATTTATGTATGTAAAGCAGTCCATGGAAAAATCCATTTCCTGGATTTTAGTATTAGAGAGTTGCACGACCTTCCCGGAGTCCTATTTACAAAACCGAAGGGTTTTACTGGATAAAATGAATGAAAATCTTAGAAGTAACAAACTGCTTGTTAAATAAAGATGAAAATAATGTCAAAGTACTTTGCCTTCTATTAGAGAAAAGGCTCTGATTTAAAGAGATGTTGTCCAGCTACAAGTTCAGCTTGGGTCACCACCTTGACCTGAATTTCAGTTGTCTTAACTGTCTGGTTTAGAATGTAGTGGTTGTTTTTTTCTTTTGGATTGCCTTGTAGCTTGATCACAAACTTAAATCCAGAGTGCTAAAAAAAATAAGACTACCTGGTATCTTTAAGTTCCTTTAAGAAGCTTTTTTGCTCTTTAATTTGGAATTGGGGGGCACATAGGATCTGGTTATATTTATAGAGAGACTCCAAACAGAACTTGTGCTTTTGCATGTTTTTCCTGAGCTTTTACATCAGTCACCTGTTTTGGTTGCTGCAGCTGGCATGCAGTATTATTCAAGTAAGTAAGTTCAGCATCGTCTCAGTATAGCTAATAATATATTTGCTGCTTTCTACATTTTTTCCTCCCTTTTGTTTTCACTTAGTAATAGAACAACAAGAAAATAAGATGAATTTTCCACCATTTCACCAGACTGCTAAATGCCAAATCAGGCAGCTGGCCCATTTTCAGTGCAGTAAAAAGAAAACACTTAGCTATTGTTGTACAACAAAATGACATTTTTTTGCTTTAAATGTACCCAGCAAGTCTTCAGTTGGCAACTTTTTGCTTTATATCTAGTTAAAACTTTATATCTAGTTAGAACTTTTCCTGAACTTGGCCTGAGGAGCTGAGGTAGAGGTGTATCTGTTCTGAGAGTCAACTGTTGGTTTGCTGAGCACAGGCAGCACTTCCCCATGGCTGTATTGATGATGAGCTTTTTTTAATTAGGAGCTGTGAACTCCCAGTTTGAGATGGGAGGTCACTAAGTGTGGGTGTGACTGGGACAACCTTCAGTCACTGCACAAAGGGGAAAGTTACCTGGAAACGGGGTTGAATTTTCCGAGCAGCCCCTCGGTGGGAGGCGGCTCCGTGTTTTTTGAGCACAACCACAGTGTTGTGTTCAGCCCTCTGTGCCTGCCTGAGCTGGGTGTGGAGCAGGGGGGAAGGAAGTGTTTCACTCCTGTAACACAGATTGCTGTGGCTGCTGGCAGTGCTGGGCAGCACGGGAATGTTCCACTGTCCTGGATGCAGCACAGACGTGTCCGAGGAAGCAGCTGAGGAGCTCAGATGATGGTGCAGCAAATCCAGAACCAGAGGGTGGTTTGAAGGGGCTGGTCATCAGCAGGGCCCTGGAGCTGAGGAAACTTCTGAGGTAAACACAGCACAGGTGGGATGCTGGGGGGTGACCTCAGGGAGTGGGGATGAGCCCAAGGGATCCCAGAACCGTGCACAGGGCTGGAACCACTGCACTGTCTCCCAGCCTGCATCATGCTTTCCATGTGTCAGGGAAGTGATGTAGGAGATAAAACTGCAACATCAGTGATTAAAGTGTTTTGCTATCCATATTCATTTTGCCTTCATGCTGTCATTTGCTCTTCAACCACAACTCCTCAGAGAAACCAAAATATATTTGCTTAAAAGGTGCAGGTACCAAAAGACAGAGCTTGTTCTGAATTGATAGAAAGTTTTGCAGTGCCACAATAAATACCTCTGCCACTCAAAAAGTAACCACAAGGTTTTAAAGTGAGCAAAGTTAGATAAATGAGTATTCAGCAATTGAGGCAAATGTGAATAGCATAAAGAGACCTGAAGTTTATCTGCAGTTCATGCTGATGCTAATCTGTTTCCAACAAGAGAACAGAATTCCTAAGGGACCACAACTGGATTTTGGGTTTGTTATGAAAAAAAGAAAACTTGCAGAGTCACAAGCCAGGGAGGAGTGACAGTTTTGCTGATGAAAGGTAAAGGCATTGTTTTTCCCCATCTTTTGAATATGAATAATGTTTTGCTGCACATTTGTTCTTAATTCATCATTCAGTTATCTCTAAGCTTTAAAAATACAAGAAATAATAGGCAAGTGGTGTGATGTGTAATCTCATACTTGCACAACCGAAATAGCAACTGCCAAACATAGAGCTGTTTCTGTAACTTTTAAGGTCACTACCCAAAAGTCTCCTCATTATGGGATGTTTCTGTAATGTGCAGTTGTAAGAAAGCAAGAATAATTTGATAAAGAGGAGCCAAATTATGAATAAGTAGTTACATATGATTGTAAATTGATTTTGCTAAAAGTCTCCCTCCAAACTCACTCATTGTCATTACCCTCTCTTACTTTATATTTTTCTTTCTAAAAATGGAGAACTTCTTTCTCCCAGAAGCATCTCTGTGGTGGTGGTTGTTAAGTTTTCCCATCAGACACCATCTTTGGAACTCACCTAAGTTTTCTGAATGCCTCATGTCTGGCCCAGTGAGAGAACAAGAAAAAACCTTTCTCATCCAGATTCCTCCTTCTGTTTGACTCAGTGGAACGACACAGGAAAACAGTTACAAAGACAGTAAATGTACAGTTAAGTGGTGGTTTATGAGATCTTTTCCTGCTGCTGAGCCCATTTCCCAGCCAGATGCAGACTCCAGAAGAGGCTGTTCCAGAAGGACTCCAGAGGAGCCCTGAGGGTGTTCTGAACTGCAGGCTGGAAGGTAAACTGAGCTCACTGCTGGGGGAGTGTGCACTGGTCCTGTACCACTGGTTTAGGTCAAACAGAAGTAGGGCCCTTGTACTGACTGTTTTCTGCCCAGCAGCACTTCAGAACAATGCAGGGTATTGTTGTAAACAGAACATACAGCTGCAGGGAGAAACTGGAAACTCAAAGGTAGGTTTGGATTCTTTGAAGTCATATCACCTGGATACTTACATTAGAATTATTAGCACAGAAATAGCTAACTGGAATTTTTTCCCAAGTGCTTTGATAAAATTTAAGAGAACAAAGTTATTCCCAAATCTTTAGGATTTGTCCTTTTAAATGCTGTTAAAAAACAATGTATAAAGTGTCCTCATTACATTTCACAGGTAGATCTTCAGTGAGATTAGCAGGTAGCACAGAATTCTCAAAATAAATGTCTCAGTGATTCACATCACTGACAGTGGCAGGTCATGTCACCTTTGCACAGGAAATTTTCACAGCTCTAAGAATTAGAAACAGCTATTTTTAAAGTAAGCTCAGCTGAGTTGTCAATATGGCAACAGGGAGAGCAAACACGAATCCCCTCAAAAGGAACTCTCTGAGAATCTCCAGAACTGGAGAAAATGATTGAATGGTTTGAAACAGCAGCAGATTCTGTGATGGAGGATGGACAACATAGATTTAAATCACCCAGCACTGTTAAAAACTGCCACCAGTGGATGCTCAGCCACATTTCTACAGCCCATCAGTTGCCTGCACGAGGTTTTAGATGAAATATCATTACTTGCATTGAGAAGGCAATCTGAAAACAGCCTCTTTTAAAATGTACACTGAAAAAGAACGTTCAAATGTTACACAAACACAGAGGTGCACTGAGAAGGGTTAAAAATTGGCCGTAGCTTTAATTTGGGGGGGATGAAAACAGCAATATCTTCTTGATATTTCAGGTTCTACAGCTGTAGGTTCTATTTACACATCCTTATCTCGCTCTAGGAATGATTTCTGGTGAAAGGTTTTGGTTTGTTTGGTTTTTTTTTTAACATCTTCAGGCATACACAGGTTTAGGGATTTTTTTTTTTGGTTGGCTCATTTTCCCCCAAGAAATGCAAGAAATGCTGCGGTACTTTAAATGAAGAATCCCTTTGTTCATTAACCTTAACCACAAAAAGCAAACCATTTATGTCTGGATTCTTTTGATTATTCTGCATCCTGGTAATCTAAGTAATATTGCCAGGGAATCATAACTCAACTTAGTTCCATTTTTTTTTTCCCCCAAACTTACACTGATAAATCTTCATGAATATCCTGGGGTTTGAATACAGTCATAGTAAAAATGAAAGTAAATGGAAAAAAACCCCTGGGTTTAAACTCATCCACAGTCTTTTCAGTTTTTACTGGGAGCAGCTTGATGTCCTTTAATGAAAGGATGCTGAATACCAAAGGAAACTGAGTCACACAGTCAGAGACCCTCTCCAGCTCTTCAAAAATGCAGGGCCAGAAGGAAAAGGATTTCTTTTAGTGCAGTAGATTTTGAAGGGGTTGCACAGCATTGAGGGTACCTTTAAATTGGGAAGTGCTACCAAATGGACTTTCTGTTGGTCTTCCTGCTTAATATGTAACATCATAAATCAAAAACTAGCCCAGAGAAAATCCTCTTGTTTTCTTTGAAAAGCCATTTCATGTTCCCCTTTAACTGTACTTTGCTCCAGAGTTTGTTTGGGCTGCTAATGAAGAAAATTATATACTGATATATATAAAAAACCCTCTTACTTAGGTCTACAAAGAGACCTCCTGCTAAGAGCTGTCAGTTTGTTCTGCAAGTGATTAACAGGGTTTTGCAACACATTAGGAAGAGACTTTTGCTACAGGATTCTGAAAGGAAAACGTGATCCTCAGGTCTAAAAGCATTTTTGCCATCCCACTGTAATAAACTGTGGTGTAATCAAAGTAGTGGAGATTCTTAGGAAATTAAGTCTTTTCCACTTTTCTTCCCCCTCAGCCTTCCAGCTGGTGGAGAGGTAATTTTAAAGACATGAGATCTTCTGCTTGGTGGAAATGGGAGTCAGATGGACAAGAGAAAGCCCTGATTAGTCACCAGTAAAAAGGCTCCAGTGACTCCAAGCACAAGATCTGATCCACTGGAACCAGTGTTTCTTTAGCTTTATTGCTCCCAGGGCTCTTCCTAAATTCTTCCAGCAAGCATTGCTCCAGTGCTGCACCATTTTATTAAATCACACATAATGTTGGCTACCCTGTACTTTCTGTGGCGTTTGACCCCATTAAAATGAATTTGTTTCCCAAACAGTGCAAACACACTTGGTAACAGTGAGTAACTGTTCCATATCTGTCTAGAAAGCTGAGGGGATTCTGAGAGTTTACACAGTACAACTTCAGCCCATTTATTTCTTACATCTTCTAGTAATATCTCCTTCCTGAATTTCCACTTAAGCTGACCACAAGCCTTTTCCTTTTTCAGTGGAGATAGTATCCCAAACTGTAAGTGTGACTGTCTCAGTGACATAGTGAAGTTATCGAAGAGCAGCTGTCTCTGATTAGTTTTCCCTGAGGCTGTTCAGGGGACACTGATGCTGATGGAGCTCTCAGCACTGCCACACATCCCCTCAGCTCTCTGTGCAACAGAGGCATGTCCCTGTGTGATGAAAAATCACTTTTCTCTTTCTTAGCCTTTAAGACAATATTTTCAGCTTATCTGCTAAAGGTCTGAAGTCCAGGAAATAACATATAGGATTGGTTAATTTGGGGAGAAAGTGATCTTTTAGTGCTTTATGTAACGTAATCTCTGGATCAGGTCCTGTACTTGGTTTGGTGCCCTCAGATTCTCCCTTCAGATGCTGAGCATTAACTGGGACTCTGACTTCTCTGACATGAGTCCTTGGCAGGTAATGAGTTTTTCTGGTTTGTGTTCTAGTAGTTATTAGAACACAGTTTTCCCTTTGACTCCTCACTCCCTGTAACAGCAGGGCTTTCCCTCTCTGTCCCACTGGACTTTTGTCTGCACTGATACAAAGTACCCCAGAGCACGTACCAGGCATCCCAGGAACAGCAGCTTGTTTAATATTTTCTCTGCACCCGTGTTTTTACACATCTCCAGATATTGTTTATTTCAGAGATAAGAAATCTCTGTTCTGCATTTTCTCTCCTTTCAATTCGTGACCTTCTCTTGGCCGATCTTCCCCTCAATACCACCTTAAAAATCCCATATAACGACCTGCTGGGTAATGTGCAAGAATGGAAATATATCTGATTTTTGCTGGTTTCAACCCCCAGTGCTAGAAATAACTTGAAAAGCAAGTTGCTCAGTTCACTTTCTCTGTGCCTCTGACTAACCAGACCATTCTCTTTGTGTTGTCAAGGCAAAAAAGGGACATGGACCGTGTCATTTGGCCTCTCTTTGTCTGAGGAAGAGAATCCTGTAAGGAACCAGAGTGTGGTAACATGAGGTACTGATGTGATCAACAAATGGTGATGTGAATAAAAGAAATCTTTGGAGAGGGCAGCACTTTTTCAGCCAAGACACCTGTCTGGATATTTTGTGTCAGGAAGTGACCTGCTGAATAAAATTCCTGCCTTCTGCTATCTGAAATATCAACTGGAAAAATTAAGGTGAGGTTTAAATTTCCCTCAGTAGTAAGATTTCCAGAAGAGAAAGCAAGACAGAAATAAACCCATTCTCTGCCTAAATTTCTTTTAACCACTACCTGTTTATTTTATTAATCTTTTCTTTGCATTTGAATTCAAATCATGTGCCAGGAAGCTGGCCAATACACTAGCAGTGGTACCTCATCCTCAGGTTGTCTTAGGATTAAAAAAAAAAACAAAAATAGAGTATTAGCTGGGAGAAAGGTGCTTTTTTTCCCCTACATCTGTTAAGGGTGTCTGAAACAAGCCAAATCCTGGACATGTATCAAAAGTACAAATTTTGAAACTATTGAATCAAGACAGTCAAACAAAATTCCCCTATCAAAAATCCACAGTATTATGTCATGCTAAAACCCTGTTATTATCTCATATTTTCTGTACATTGAAAAAAACCTGAATGAATTTTATACATTTCCCATGTAGTAAACCCCAAAATTCTCATGCATCTACCTGTGCATTATTGAGAACTGATTGTCATAAAAAAAATCTCACAAAATTCAAACAAATTATAGTGATGTCTGTATAATTGATGCACTTTTAAATATACATACAAACTCCATTAAGTGCAACTGTTTATGTTTCAGTTGCAGTCTTCTCCAACTCATGAGCCTCCTATTTCAGTCTGCTTTCTTCTCTCATCTTGCTCACCACATCATCCTCTACAACTTGTCTTCTTAGGAGTTGCTCTGCATGTTGTTTTCCCACCATTCCTCCACTGGATTGCTTTATGCTGTTGTTATTTCTGGAAAATAAACAAAACACATACCTTTAATTAAGGAAAACTCCCTGCCCCACTTTCCTGGTGGAGTCCAGTCATTTAACTTTAAATTGCACTCACTGTTGCAGCCACTGCTGCCTGTAGGTTCAGCTAGGCTGGCTCCACACTCTGAGGAACTTGTCCTTGGAATGGGAACTTTTCTGACCAAGAGAAACAAAAACCAGACAACAGAGAGAGGGGAAAAAAAATACACACAGAGTGAAAAAGGTTGTCAGGGAGGAGACTAATTAACTGAATGATGTCCATTGAAAAAAGTGACATGGATCTTCTTTCTAATATTCAGTGTTTGTGAGAAGAGTGTACTGGAGGGAGAAGGACAGAGATCAGAGGCCAGTACAGCTCTCATAACTATGTGGCTTCTCTGCTACTCTTCCTGTTTGTCTGATTTCTCAGCTCTTTATTGAAGCAATTAGTAGACAGCACAAAATAATTTATTATTAATTAATTCTCTTGATGTTTGGAAATTACGTGAAATTCTCCACACTTTGCTGAGGAGACACAAATCTCGTAAATAGAGCTGATCTCCTGCTGTCTTGTTCCCTTTCTTTTAATAGTAATCAGACATCTGCTCTCTTGAGAAGAGTCATGAGCTCTTCCCTGTCCTGTCCAGTTTGTGCCCTGTGGTGATGTAACTCCTCCACAAAATCTGGTGTCTTGGACAGCTCAGATGGCTTCATTCCTAGACCCTGTAGCTTTGGCTGGCTGAGTTCCCATTCATCCACATCACACTTACCTTACAGGTAACTTGCCATTTCCACATGGACTTAGAACGAAATATAGACATGAATTGCAGGTTTATTTTAGTTTTCCCTAGGCTTTGTTCTGTTCCTCTTAAGCTCTGTGTGTGTGGCATTTAGGCTTCTGAATTAAATAAAAACTGCCTTATGTGCCATCTATACTCATCAGTCACCTTTCTTACTCTTTTTCTTCTTCCAGTAACCCTTGAGCAATATGTTTCTGGAGGAAGAAGGCCAGATGGATGTGGTCTGATAGGTGACTTGCTGGCAGCAAAATATGCCATTTGTTCCTCAGTACCAGTGTAATAGCAGGGATTTTTGCAGACTTTCCTGTTTTGCCCCTGTCAGGATGACAGACTTTAGGAGCCTGTTTGTTGGAGGGGTCTTTGTTTCGAGGTGGAGAGAGCACCTAGATCTGGATTTGCACTCTGCAGGCTGGAAAAAAATAAATCATCAGCTGATAAAAATGTGATGACTCAGCTGAATGTAAAAAGGATTATTTCCTACTGCTCCCCCAGAGCTTTCCTATGCAGCCCTATTCTCTTATGGGTTATTTTCACTGTTAGTTATGACTTAGTTTTATAAGCAGAGCAATGAAACCCTTTCTCTCCACCCCTGCATGGCTGATGGATTTGTTTCTAGGGAGCATTAAATGCACTTGCACATGTTTGGTCCTCAAATCTGTCCCAAGTAGCCTCAGAGAGAGACAGCTTGGAAAGGGAGGGGGGCACAAGTGATGATATAAACAAGAAAACAGAGCAAAACTGATTTCCTAAATTCTAAAAGATTTAATGTGTAATTTTAGGGATTCCATTTCCTTATTCTGAACTTCCATTAGTTCTGCATCCCTCCAGATTGCATTACTGTTTATACCAAAACCCCACCAGAACCCTCTGCTGAAAGGGCCATGGAAATGCTTAAAAACACACAATATCAGGAAAAAAACTTTGCTTTCTGATTGTGGATCAAACATCTTTGTTAACAAAGTGTAACAGTGGAAACTTGATAGCACAGTATTTCCCTTAACACTTTAAACTTTAAACTTAATATATCCTGTCAAGGACAAGCCAAACACTCAGCTAACCCTTACAAGCCTTAGTTCCACCCTCTTCTAAGATGTTAGGATACAGGTGATAGATCAAATGGGAGGAAAAAAAAAATGCAGATTAATGACAGCTGCTAGCAATAATCCTCATTCATAGAGCTGAAAAGAGGGCAGTAGATTAAAGTATCCACTTGAGACTCCTCATATGGTGGTCATTTCAGTCAAGACACAAGGACTTACAGATGTAAAGGGTTTCCTGCAGAGATGAGTTCTCTGGCAGGTGATTGTCCTACATCAGCCTCAGAGGTGTAAAGGTAAGACAAGACAATTTTGAGCCTGTTAGGTTCTTTTACCTGTACTAAAGAAGTTGATAATGATTGTATGAGATTTTCCAAGCTGATCTGATATGTAAGTTCAAGGCCAGCTATGTTCAGACTGAGTTATTTTTCTAATAAGGAGGCACCACTACTTGTTCTGCCAGTTAGGCAGAGCTTGAGTGAAGAGTAGTTGAGGTTCATCTTCAGCTGTAATAAAAGAACTTGGATGGACCTGGCATTGCTGTCACTCAAATATTCTGTGTTTTGACCATGAAACTCAGCAGACTTTGTCTCCAGCTTTCTCCTAATTCTGCTGTGTGCAAGAGGAAAGGCATCTTTGAACAGATTGCTCTCTTCTTGGAGACAATTTTATTTCTAAAGAAATACTGCCTGTATGAGACTTGAATGAATTTTTCTCAAGTTAGTTAAAGCTGTATTCTATTCTAATAACTTTTTAGTGATCTGCAAATGTTCTTTAGTGAACAACTGCTGTGGCATTCCATGACTGAGCAGGAGTAATTGAACTAAAATTACTAAGGTGGGGGGGATGCTTTACAACAAGGGGGGCTTTTATACACACTGTTTTATCAAATGCTCTCTATCTCTTCTAAATACATTCAGCTGTGGGAAAAACTGGCATTCAGGGGGTTTCCATGACAGCAGCTGAGGTAAAACTAGCCCAGCTCTTCCAAAGGTCGCTCACTGAAAGGCACTGATCAGAGAGGCTGATTTGGCAACGTGATTATGGGAGAGCAAAGAACAGGATTGCAAGAACCACTGGTTATCACAACCAAGGAGAAATGCAGTACAGGAGGAAGGGGAAGAGGCTGCAAGTCTGTGATGGCCAAGAATTACAGGGGCTCATGTAAATTGCCTCATAAAGGCATAAACACATATTAATGGTATGTGACAAAATAAGCTCTTAGACAAAGTGCTGTACTCTAAAAATAGAGGGACATAGGAGGCTGACTTGCATTATAAATGCAGAGATTAAGTGAAAACAGTAAGTTTGTTTGGGTCTGGTCACAGCATCAAATAGCTGCCTTGATCCCAATAACTGCTTGTGTGTTTTCATTCCAAGTCCTGATATGCCTGAAATGCTGCTAAAACCAAACCTGCAGCACTTGCTGTCTAGCACTGACCTTTTCCTGCTACTCAAACATGGATCATCCTGGACAAATTAAGTTAGCCCTCTGTTTTGTTCTAAATGTTAGTTAGGAAACATCTGCCTGGGATTATTCTTCAAATTCATTCCTTAGTTTTCCTTTTTAGACCAGGAGCTGCAGAGGAATTAGGAGCTAAAGGCACCAGCTGCTTTGGCTGCCAGTTCAGTGGGAGCAGTTTTTGATCCCTAAGCACTTCATCAATTTGCTTCTACTTCTCAGTCCTCAGACAACATAAGGTACAGCATAAAGTTTTTGATCTCTGACATGGGCATACTACCTGTATTTGTTACAAAGCAACTACAAGTAATAGCTCAGGAAAGCCACTGAGAAAACTACAAGGCAGGAAATGAAATATTACAAGCAACAAGTTGAGACATCCACATTCATTATGTTGAATAACCATACAACCTTATGGATAATTCATTACATGCTTTTACATTCAGATAATTAGTACATGATTACCAGAAGAAATTTCTACTTGATTAAACAGCTTTCAGCCTTATGAAGCACTTTTACCTGCAAAGGAAGTAGAATGCTCCAATTACAAGAACTCCTAGAAGAAGAAGGGAAGCCAAGAAAGCTGCAAACAGGTCACCTTTTGTTTGGGACTTGATGCTGGGCAGCAGAACCTCCTCACAACGGGCTCCTGTGTAATGCTCAATACACCTGGGAAACCAAGTGGTATTAGATTAGATGGTAAATTGTCACTTAATATGGAAAGCTTCTTTTGCTCTTAAGCGGGGAGAGAACTGTTATGACATAATTCAGAGTTTGTGTTTGCTGTGCAGCAGCTTTTCTTACGGAATTTCACCTCCTATTTCTGGAGCAAAGGGAATTGGGCACACTGGGCACCAAGTTTACACTCTGATCCATACTGCTTTCATATATTAAATTTAACACATTCATTAATTAATTAAATCTACCTCTCTAGTGTTAACTGTGTCATCCCACTGGTTCTCACACAGTAGCCATGCTTTCTTTTCCCCCTTTCATGTAACTTTTAGCTTCCTTTGTTGCAGAGCTATCAGGTAAATAGATCCAGGAAATGGGAATTCATTGAGACACAGTACACCTGAAACTGCACAAGTAGTTTATGCAGGGTAATAATTCATGCCAGGACATGTTACGTGCTTGGTGAATAACCCTCTCTTAGAGAGACCCAGGTAAGTCTTCTCTACTGTGCTTATTTTATGTATTAAGCTTCTGAAAACTTCTTCTGAAGAAAGGATTAAAATGGATATGGTATTTTACTGCAGTAAAATGGTATGTTTTAGTAAAAACAAATAAAAGTGATGGCTTAGTAATTTATATTCAGTCAAAAATAGATAGGTTGAAGCTAAAATGATCTTCATTAGTCTTGTATTTTGCACTTACTCTGCTAAGTTTTCTTTTGCAGAAAGAAACAGAAAATGGAACGCTCTTCTTTCAGTAGCTACATTCTGCATGTATTTTTTATATATGTAAATTTGCTTCCCTCTATTTGTATTACTAAAGATCTCGCTCCTTCTTGCTATTTCTGGCACTGAAGTCATAATAATCTGTGACATAAGCAACTTCAGGCTCCAGCTGAGAGAAATGGGCTGAACTCTGTAACACACTTGAAGTTCTCCACTGCCATTGGCAGCTGCAAGGTATAATTTCAGATGAGGGATAAGAAGGCAGAGTGGGGAGGAACTGCCAAAAAGGAGAAGTGTCTGGGATGTGTAACTAAGACAAAAGGATCCCTGTGAGCTTTCCCCTGTGGAAGCTTGATGTGACTCCCCTCCACTTTCTGTGCATTATGGACAATATTTCAGCACTGTTGGTCTCAGCCATTGCACAAAGAATTGCTACCCCTTCTTTCAATTCTTTGTCTTTGGAAATATAATGGAAGATTGAGACACTAAAAAAAAAAATCTGTTTAATTATCATCATATGTTAAAGCTGTGCAGCTGATCAAACTGCCAAGGACAATGGGAGACTTTTCCAAGTTATGATGTGTCACTGCTGGGAGAAGCAAGGGCAGGCAGACTGCTCTGATTGCTTGAGATAATGTTCCAGATATTTACTGTAAGTGTAGTGGCTTTTCAGTGGCCTATTTCTGAAATACTGTAGAATACTTTAAGAATAGAAGTGTAGTCTGAGTGGGAGCATTGTTCTCCAGCAAGGGAGAGAGAAATGCTTTGGAGAGCTGAATAGAGTAACAGGGATAGAAAATGGAATATGAAATTCATAGAAGTATTCTTGAATACCAATGAAAACTGGAGAATAATGCAAGGCTAAAATGATACAGGAAGAAAAAAAAATAAATAGGTTTTGGCATCGAATTAAGGCTCATGGAAAAGTTCTAAAGAATGAGTGTAAAGGCAGTAAGTCAGTAGCCTAAAGAGCCAAAGGAAGCAGGAGGAAGAAAAGACAGTCCTGCTGCAGAGATGCACACAGGATCAGGTGCAGGGTGAGGGTCAGTGGACTGTCCTGAGAAGCAGAGGTGGCAGGATCAGTGCATGGAAGTTGTATTCACGTGCTGCAAAAGACCACAGGGGAAAAAAAATTGGGAATGTGATGACAGCCTAGAAAAAAGGTCACTGAGGCTGTAGCACTTCCTACTAAACAAAAAACACAACCAGCTGCTTGAGGTAGTCACAAGTCTTTTAAGAGGGAAAGGAGCTTGAAGGCCTAAGGCTCTAAGGGGAAAGCTACAGCAGTAAGAGTGCAAGGTTATAGCAACAGGAGAAAACCCTGCAGTAGAAAAAGCACATGCAAAACTTAAACACCCTGAACCTCTCCTGCATGGATGTAACAGAAACAAGTTGTAGAAACATGATTTTCGTGACTAGCTAGTTTGATGGTATCTGTTTAACTGTGAGCAGTGGATTAGGGATTACAAACTAGGCTGAGCTGCTGACACATTTGCTGGGACTGATTCCATGCTATGTAAAAATTGCTGCCATAAAACCTAAAAATTACATAGGTGTTCACAGATATAGGAAAACTGAGATGAAGTACCTCTGGGTTACATTTAAATAAACAAAATTACAGCTAATGTGACCTTAGCAACAAACTGTGCTGCAGTCAGGGCATTTCTGAAAATCCAGATGTTCAAATATTGGCTTGCACGAGCTTTTATGAAGTCACCTGTCCTGATGTACAAATAGGTGAAGGCCCCATGTTAAAGATAGAAGCCACTGATGCTTTAAGATAACCAGGAAAGGTTTCCTCTGCAAGTCCTTTCCTAAATTTGGTGAGAAACTAAAGACTTCTGTAATTAGCAGTGGAACTCAGTCAAAAGACCTGCTTATCCTGTAGCAGAGCTCCAATAATTCCAGTGGAGTTCCATATGCAATGACTGCAAGCGAGTCAGACACAGAGTGACTCACAAACATGTGGGCCATGAACACAAATCCATGGTATCTGTATCAAGCCTTCTAGAGGTAGTCAATCTTACTAGACATAGCCTTAAAAGCCAGTAGCTTTTAAGATAAACTCCTAATTTATCTTGTTTATAATGGATGCCTAAAATCGAGCCCAAGTTCGGAGCAGCTGTTAAAAGGGCAGGCACTGGTGCATCTGCACTTGAATGAACTGGGGCCAAACCAGAGCAGCCTGGTTCTAGGCTGGACTAAGAGTGAAAGTAAGACTCATAAAGTCCTGTGTGCCCCAGGCCAGGTGTAGCTGTTGCAGAACATCAGCCCCGTGCTGTTATCCTGCTGCCTCAGCACGTGCTCCCTGTTGCTAACCGGCCCTACTATGTGGCATCCCGAACTCGATTTTTAAAATGGAAAAGAGGTCTTTCCCCCTCTAAGAAATTAGAATTTCTAATTCAATCAGAGGGGAAGTACAGCAGCCTTCAATGTCTGAGGGAAATCTGTGACTAAAAGCTCCCATTTTCAGAAAGCACCCAGATTTGTGCTCTCCTAGGTGCCTGCACACACAGGCACACCCACCCACGCCTCCTGCCAGACGAGATGAGCCAGCCTTAAGCTGTTGTATACAAACATACTACAGGAGCTGTGCTACACACAGAACACCAGCAGAGGTAAAGAAATCCAGGGGATATTAATCAAAACTACCCCTGTCAGCATCAGTACAAGGTGCAAGTGAATAGACTGCAATGCATATGATGCCAGGAGATGACCAGAGGGTCTGCAATTCTGTTGCTCCCCTAAAATCTGACTGGTAACTAAAACAGAAGCACAAAAGTCTTGCAATAACAGGAGGCACTGCTGCTGTCTCTTTGCAGATGCTGTTCATGGGGCAGTGCAAGGCATCCTCTGCCCCTGAGATTTAGTAAAAAGGTGAGGTTTCTTTCTCTGCCAGACTCCAAGGGGGGCAACTTAAGGAAGTATCTGACAGACTTTAAAATGGAAGTAGGATTTGAGTTAAATATGCACCTGGATTCTCACTGCACTACATTACACTGTAAGGGTGCTGAGTTCAGTTTTTGTTTGGTCTTCCTTTAGTCAGGAAAATCCTGGATGCTTCTTGGTATCAAAATTACTTTCATGTAAATACAAAGCTCTAAGCAGAAAAAGCTGAAAAGTTATCTGCTTGTCAATGGAACTCACATTCCCTGGCTGATAACTTCAAAATCAACATAATCTTCCATCTGTAGCAGGCTCCTAAAGTTGTCCTAATCCATAAACTATAAGGACATCTAGTAAGTACAAAAAAGAACTTAAAGCCAAAGTGAATAAGCAATACCAAAGTTAATTGGAAGCCCTAAGCAGGTTTTTTAAAATTTTTGCATTTGGGGGAGTTTGAAAACTGTTACTCTGAAGTTGAATTCATATACAAAGAGAGTAAAAGAAAATGCTCCTACTGGAGAGAAGTTGAAAGAATTGATTCTTTTTCCCTAGAACCCCCTTAGCCATGTGTTTATATGGCAAGCTTTGCCATATCTGGCAGTGATATTCATTCTGATTGCTAACAGTTTTCAAACACATAAGGTAAGGAGATCATTCACTGTTGATTTTGTGTGTACTGCCCTGTGAAGCAGAGGAGCTATGTTTGTGTGGTCTTATACCATCTGTATTTTGCTTGAAATACAGAAAGCATGCTCTCAGAAATCTGCCAAGTGTAAGAAAAAAATGCAAGTACCAGAGCACCCCCTCAGCAAACAAAATCTTGCCCTTATTCTGCACTGCCTCATTTAATGCCTGTGGGACAGCTGTCATCGGGTGCTGAGTAAAATGCTTTCAGCCTTGTGGTTCCTGAGACACCTGAGGCAGCTGCTCTCCCATCCTTCTCTGTCCTGCTGCCTGTTTGTTTAGCACATTTGAGTGTTCTGGGTTTGAAGCTCAGCTGGTTTATGGTGCCAGGTGTGCCTTTTGCTGCTGAGAATGTCAACTCATTGTTAGGAAGGCAATGAGGGAAGGTGGCAGCTGAGCAACTTCATGTTTTAGCACACATCAGCTGTGTTTAAAATCTGCTGATGTGGCACAGGAAGAGGGGGTCAGTTAATGTCTGTTTCTATTAAATATCTACCTCATATAGGTCCATTTCTGAATTATGAAATTAACTTAAATTCCAAAGGTAAACAGTGGCTCTTAATTTGTTAGTATGCATAAAAACACAGATTTCTGAAGAATTATGCATTTTCCTTAGTTACATGGGTAAATTACTTCCAATGATGTTGCATCTTACAGCACAGCACGTTTGTGTAACCAAGTAGCATATTAAGGCAAACGTTTCAAGGTAATTCTATTTGCCTGTTCTTTCTCCATCTCCCTCTTTTAACTAACAATCATCCAGCCTTGGAGTCTAAAAGTGATTTAAGTTTTCTTTTGGTGGGAGATGATCATTTGAGGACACTTGGGAGAGCTTTGGGTGGGATTTGGCAGAAACCTTCATCAGAGAAACTTTGTGCAGCCATGTGATGATGCAAGTCTTGAAGCTCCAAAGCACCAAATATTTCCTGAATTCTGCTGAATCGTGATGCATTTTTTTCCTGTTGTTTCTATTCACATCGCTGCTGATTACTAAGATATCTGTGTGTAAACAAAACCTTTCTCATCTATAATTAGCCTCCTCTGACTGATTAAGGAACATGCTTAGAATGAGGACATGCTTAAATAGAATGCTGCTATTTAAACCATCTAACTTCATAATCAATCACTAGATAGAGGGGAAAAAAATAGTTGGTAATTTAAATGCAGTGAGATTGCCTGAGTATAACAGAAATGCTCTTAAGATGTTACTTTTCTGCTTCAGCAGATTATAAAATCCTATGGCACCTGAACTGCAAATGACTTCATTTGGAGCTGTTAAAGTGGAAATTATCTATGCTGACTAGTTTGTGCTCCTGAAGGATGGATTGTTCTGAGGATTTGTTACTTCATATTTATAGTTATTGCATCAAATACATCTGCCTTGTAACACAGTTTAGCAATAGCTGAGAGGGGGCTTTGAAATTGTGTAACTGATGCTATTTAGTTTAACCACTTTTTATTTAAGTATTTTAATGTCAGTAATATGGGATTCCTTCCAGAAAAAAAAAATCAGCATGTATTTCCAAATGTCCTGCTTTTTGTGTGTGTGGTATTCATTTTCTGTCACATAAGATTGCAAGGTTTAGCAGTGAGATTAAATCACCATCATCCAGCACTTTGGAGCTCTGGCCTCCCTGATCTGATTCACTGGGACACTGGGCAATGACAGTGATCTGCTGTGTGTATTTTTCAATGAGCATTTATCACAAAACTGCCTCTTTTCTCCTCATCCAGCTAAATGAGTTTACAGGCTCGAGCTTAAGGGTTTAAATTGAACTGTCCCAAACAAAACAAAGAGATGTTTTAATTAGGCATCTGGGAAAAGATTTTGTTTCCTTCTTCAACTGTTTTATCTGGTTATCATTAGTTATAGGTCAAGATGGAAGAGGGAGCAGAAGTTGCCATAGAAGCAGAAAAAGGTAATATCCCTAAGTGCATGTAATATTTGTCTGAATGCCTATTATTTTGTTAAGTAAACCCGTTAAATCAATCATCATTTATTTTGATGAATGATAACTCAGAATTAGTAAATGAACCGTGAAAAATGGGAATTCCATTGAGCATCTTATGCTTTGGTAAATGAGAAAATAAAAAGATGGGGCTGTATTCGTGCAGGAAATGTATCCACATGCAAAATCCAGGAAGTGCTTATTTTCCAATGGGCTTCAGGGACAAGAATGGTTCTGTTATGGATTGGTGTAGGAAGTATCTGCATTTGCTGCCTGGATGTTTCTTTTTCAGGTAGTCTTTGGCTGTCACTGTGAAGCTGAGTATTTCAGCAAGATTCAGAGAACACAATAAGTCTTGAATTACAGGGGGTTTTCCCCCTTGAAAGATGGTATTATTTTTGTGTCTCCTCATTTTGTTCATGGTAGGCCATTCTACGTTACAAAAATGTTTGTAATAGAATTCATCTGTAAGAAAGACTGGGGGTGTGCTTTGCCTTTCCGAATGCCTTTCCTACAGTCTCTCTTCCATGAGGCAAAGGGTATTTTGTTCTTTCTGTATTGTAATGAGGGAAGAGCTGTGGCTCTAAATATAGACCCCATCCTGAGTGCACACGTAACTGAGCGCTGTTGCATCTGCCAAGCAAGTATAAACCAAGTATACACATTTATTTTTCTCATATTGTCATGGCTCTGCAAGCTTGGAAAGTAATAGGTCTTTTCTTTTGGATAACATTTTAACAGTGATTTCTTAAAGAAACGAAATGGTCTTTAGACAGCTACTGTCCAATACTTAGACACACAAACTCCAGTTTGACTGACCTGCAGAATGGACTGGACACGGTAGGAATCATATAACAAATCCCTCCATTCAGACAAAAAGATCCATAACTGGTGCCACAGAGTTCTTCATGATCTTAAAAATAAGACCAAAACAAACACTGAGAAAAACAGAGACTTCAAAACCAAAAAAACCCCACCAAAACAAACCATCACACAAACAAAACCACCCCATGAACAAAACGGGTACCGGTCTCGCCCTCCAGGCCAGCAACACGCAGCACTATCTTCCAGAACTGTTTCATGTAACAATAAGCAGAAAAGATCACTAACTTATCACCATATCAGATGTGAAACACCCAAATTAGATAAATAAATCAAACTTTTGTCTGGCAGTGAGAGGAACTTCTGAATTCTCTGTTAGCTCCTCTGCCGTTGTGACCGCTCACCGCAGCGAGCAGCGATTCACACGATGACCTGTGGGAAGTCTGCTCTGTCCTGTTCCACTGGCACAAACTATCCTCATCTTCACTGCCTTCTGTGAGAGACTCAGCCAGCACAGATGCACCCAGAATAGTCTCAGGTGTGGGCCAGCACACCCTGAGACTGCTCAGGGCTGCGTGAAGAGCTGAATCGCAGCCCACCTGGGCACCACCGGCTCTTCCCACCCCGGTTCTGGGTGACCAGAGGAGGGGACAGCCTGCCCAGGGTCACTGATGTGCTACAAAGTCATTTCCACACATCTCAGCAAGGCTTTTCCCTGACTCAACAGGCTTCTTGGGCAAACTGTTAGTGTGTTAAACATAATTAGGAATTGTGTAGCACCCCAGTGCAGGACACTGATGTTGGCACTTGTGGCAGCAAGTTGACCATTTTGTGTTTAAAAAGCATATCTAACTGTACCACTTCACTCTCTCTGAGAGCAGTCTAAATTTGGGATTTGGACTGCATATATTTAGGACACATTTAATGCATCAGTAACTCATTTTATATATATATATATATATGCATATATATATTTTTATATATTTCTTCCATCTTATGAAACCACAGTATCTCAATCAAAACAAAAATAGAGCAGTCTTCTGACATCACAAGGGTGAGAATCATGTGTTACCTCACACTTTTAAGTGTTCTTGTTGTTATTTCTCCCAGAAGCTCTGAAAATAAGAACTCTGCTGTCTCACTATTTATGTATAGAAGACATGGTCTATACAAAATACAGTGTTAAGAGTAATCAAGATTTTAGTTTTCTTATTTGTCCTTCGGGGAAAAAGAGTTAGGGTTCCCCTTTATTCCTGCAGAAAAAAGTGAGCAGTGTGGCCATAAGACATCCTACCTTAGAGGGAGTTTCTGCAGCTCTGTATGTAAAATAAAACTGACTTTTCCGAGCGTACCAGAGAGGCTTAGCTACTTCTAACTCTGTGCAACAAAACCATTGTGCATCCTGCTATCCCCTAGGCAATCTCTAGCAATTCCACTCTCCCTTTTTTCCATACATTCTTCCATTTCTGTGATGGCACACTGGTGTGGGAGTGTGAGTCAAGTCCTTCTGTTAATTTAAGATGAAGGCAGTTATACCCCAGTGCCCAACAGGAATTCACTGTTATCGAAGTGTGTGCAAATTGCAACTGGACCTTTTTGCCTGTGTGCAGATAAATGAGGGAGCTGGAGGAGGGAGAAGAAAGGCTGGAAGGATTGTTCATGTTTGACCTTGTTGCACAGAAATGTGTGTTCTGCCCTACCTTGTTAGAAGTTAAATGGAAATTTATTTTAACTCCGAAGCTTTCTGTGCTTGTCTACTGGCAATTCATTTCCTGCAAGTTCGCTGTTAAAAGACTAACAGCACAATTGCAATGGGAATAAAATGGGCACAGAAGAAAAACAAGGAGCTTTTTAAACAAGAACTACAAATTATTTGATTTTAGTCTATTCAAACCTGACAGTGGACCTTCTGTGGGAGTGTAATTCAATTGAATCCTCTGTCAAATGAAGAGAGGGTACTGAACACACGAACACCGTATCAGGATATCCATACAATTATAAAAATCAACTGGGGAAAAACAAAACTCTCAACGTGCTCTCAACTCTGTCAAGTGTCTGAGGGAGTTAATTGTTGAAATTCTACCAGATGGAAAAGCAAGATGATAGAAGGTAGGCCCCACAGAAAAATCCTTTTACACAGCTCATGGGAAGGTTTCAAAGAAATTCTCATGAGAATTAACGAGAATTTGTTAACCTCTTTAAAATCCTGCCCTCAGGTTCTATTTCTTTTCTTCCTCTCCATGCAGAAACAGAGCTGGCCCCCACGGGCACAGTGGCAGAGTCCTGAAGGAACCTCAGATCCTGGAGTCGCTCAGGGCTGGGAACATCTGGGACGATGATCCCTGGTAAGGGGTGATCTTTGCATTAAGGCCCAGCTCTGCAGCACACCCAGGCACTTCTGTTCTGCCAAAACACCTCAGGCACTCTGCCTTAGGCCTATTAAAGTGAGAGAGGTGGAAAGAGAGAACAAGAAATGCCCAGGGAGCCTTTGAAACCTTTCTGATTGTAATTACAGACAATTTTTCTATAGGCTATTCCTCTCCAGAGACAGACTTTTTTCCAATCCTCAGGGGAAAATGGTAACTTTAATTTTACCGGTGATGAGAAACTCGAAGAAACCTCTATGTCCATCTAGATCAGGTGCCCTTTTTTCCCAGCCTTCTGTTCTTTTCAATATTTTGTGTATTAATCTTTGCTACTACTTAGTGAAAGTATCAGAGTAACAAAGTAGGTGTCAGAATTACAAAAGGCAATAAAAGAAAATTCAGGATGCTTTAACACAAGAAAAAAAATATTACTAGAAAATTATAATCCAAAAATAGATATTATTGTACTCTATACCTACTGTACTGAAATAGAGTAGCTTGCAGCAAATTTCCAAACCACAGTTCTGTATTTATAGACAGGAAGGTGTGAAAGCACCAGTTTATCCCTCTAAATTTATAGTCAGTGATGCAAAAGAATATACTGGAGAATCAGAAGGGGTTCAGTACAAAACCCAATTACATTAGCATTGGTGAATGTGTTATGATTTTTCATGAGGTAAGTCAATACATTATATTAATCTAAAAATGCAAATTGTATGCTTTGAAAGTCAAATGTATACTACATTCAGACTCCATAATCAAGATAGAAAAGTTTAACAAGTCAAGTGATGAGGGGAGATTAAAAAAATACAAAAGATTTAGCTTTTAAATTAACAGAGCTCTATGTATGTTGTACATGATATATATCTGTGTATTTTGATACATCCTTCTATATGTGAAAGATTAAAGAGGAGTAAGACACAAAAGTTATTTTTTTACAAAAAAAGTTGAATTTGGTGGAAGGAGAAGCGAAGAGGAATAAACCAAGGTTGTTCTTTCTTAATGCTAGACTATCAGTACTTAAAACTGGCTCTAAATACACTTATTCCTAATTATTCTTTTTGAGGACATGCACATGTCCTGGTTTCAGCTAGGACAGAGTTAATTTTCTTCCTAGTAGCTGGTACAGTGCTGTGTCTCTAAACTTGCCTGTTCTGCATTTAAACTTTTGTAACCTGACTGTCCCAGCTATTAAAACAAATTCAGGCTCAGCACCCCCTTAACTCTCAAAGAGCCAAGCCAGCCTTGATAATCCACACGTTGACTCAGCTGTCTTGCCTGGTCCAGAGGCCAAAACACTGGAGTGTCTAATCCTGAACTCTGCTAACACAAAAAAGGAAAGGGAGAGGAGTGGGAAATGTTGACAGGAGATAAAAGGGGGCTGATGCTTCCTCGCTCATGAGCAACTCTGGACTGTGTGATCAGCCACAAGCTGTGAAACGTTAGGATTGATCAAAGCAAACATCTCCTTACAGGATTCCTACCATCAGCAGCTGAACTCGAGTGAGGGATGGCAGCTCTGCAGAGCAGTTGTGACAATCCCAGCTCCCAAATCCGAGGCAGTATTAATGAATTCTAATTATACATGGATGTGTATCCAGGCAAAGACTTGGAAGAAATTACCTGTTCGCATATTATTCCGACACCAACTTTTATTCTTGGTCAGAGGCTGCTCTTCTAAAACAGCACCTGAAGGCAAACATGGAAGTTGAGCATGTCATTTTTAAACCTGGTGGTGACTTTTCCCCCCGAAGAAACAGTGACTGGAATGCAGCTTAGTGTTGCTGCTGAGACATCTGTTGCACTGTGACAGTAAGGCACTGTTAGCTCCATTAATTCACACTTAATGGCAAACATTCAGCTCTGCTCTGCTCTGCTCTCGAGTTCAGTGAATCCCCAAAGGCAGAGTAAAACCAAATTCACACTGAAGCATATTTAAACAATGAATGCTTTTTTCCACACTGCCATGCTTATTCAGAGTTGTGGTACCTGTGCATTTAGGCAATCTAATTGACTGTTTCTGGCCAGCTAATTAGATTGGCATTTGAACCCTGAAAGACAGTGCACACAACTGAACCAGTCCTCAGACTGGTGATTATTCAGTCAGGTAAGGTCTTGGTGGTAGAATTCTTGCATTCCACAAACAAGAACTTCCCAATGTGTCATTTCTCACAGAGATTCTCTGTGTGTTTCAGTTGAGTGTTTCTTGTGTCTGGATGTCAGGTGAAATTAGTGATACAGGCTGTGAATTTACCAGAACTCAGCAAGGTCAAGGTTTGTACAATCATCTTTAAAATCTGGAATAGAAACTCTCTGACTGGACAGAAACCAATCTTCACTTGACAATGCTAATGAAACTTATTCTGTAGATATGCCAACTCTATAGCCACCTACCCTTGCTATATTCTGTTTTCTTGTTAGGTATAATCAAAGTTTACCGTACCAAATAGGTTACTAAACAAGCCTAACGTAATAGATCATCTTATTTTTTCATGTTTGCTCTTTTTTCTTAATTACACTTTAAAGTGTACATAAAGCAGTTATTTAAACAAACTGCTCTATACTGGAAGGAAGAATCTTTTTCCCATTAAATGACCAAATAAATTGTCAGCTTTACGAGGAATAACTGCCTATCCTTCAGCTTTCAGGAACAGAAACCCAGCTTTCTGTAGAGGCCCATTTCAGAAGGTATAATGCATTTGTACTTACTTTATGAGCAGACAGTGCTGGTTCTCACGGGACCTCAGGTGACTTCTCTAGTTTTCAAGTGTCCTGTCCATACAGGAAAGTCTGAAGTGGCAGTTCCCTGTGACACTGGGCTGTGACAGCAAGGTCCCCTCCCAAAGGCGTCCTCTTGAGCAGCCTCAGATACACAACCTTGGTGTGCACAAGGAGAACAATTAACATTGCACAGAGAGACAGGTGGACAGGAGTCACTTCAGAGCTAAAATCCTGGGTTTAAAAGAACTAAATCATCCTGCAGACAGGTTTCTCCTGCAGTCGAGATCTGGGCTCTGTGTGCTGTGAGAAAGGGTTCACATTTACATACAGTGCAAAGACAAACATCCTGGCAGAGGCCAAGCACAGAAGGGGGGAACACCCTGTTATGCTCACAGAATCACTTGCATATTTTTCTAGGGTTGCCAGCACTACAGTTTATTGCTGAATTCAAAATACCCACATAGTCTAATTCACATAAATTGCATCATATATATATTTTACATGGCGGTCAAAAATCCGATTTAAATTTGTGTCTTATTGGAGCAAGCAGTCCTTGCTAATTTAGTCTCCCTTTTCACAGAAAGTTCCACGGAATGATATAATATCCAGTAGCTCTCATAACAGGAAATATAAACACATATATCACCTAAATTTCAGACTAGCTCCTGTACCAGATTTAATTAGGACAGGAGTCTTTGAATTGACAGAATAACTTTAGTTTTGCTACTGCAAAAAGGAGATCCTGCATCTCCTTTCCTTCCCCTTACTATCAGTATGCACCTCACTATCTCTGGTGCTGCTCCTGGTGTAGGTTGAACTTTTTCAGGAGATGCTTAAATCCAGTGATCTGGCAGAAGATCCCATGGGGGAAGCTGAGGTTTTCTACTGCATCAGTGTGTTTCATCACTGTCTGGACTAGTTCTAATTGTTACAGGTACTACCCACTGCCTACAGGCTGACTGCAGACAACCAGGCAGCTTGAGGAAAGCCATGGGACCACCACTAATTCTCTATTTTCAAAATTTGTTGCCTGCATGTTCAAAGAAATAGGGGATGGCAAAGGGAGGAGGTGAAAATACTTCCTCACCAACCCAAGGAGAGGTCTGGGTGTATGCATAATTCTAAGTTCTGAAAATAAGGATCACGATTTGGGTCTAAAGATGACTTTCCAAGGAGATGCTGCTGACAGCATTCACAGTCATAGCCTTTTTTTCTTCTTTTTAAGATTGAAGAGTAAATAAATCATTAGGCAGTCATGTATTTACATGGGGTGCTGCACTCTGAACAGAGGTTCATGTATAATTGTCCTAAAAAGAACAGATTGGAGTCCCTATCTCATCAGAAATAGGATGATGTATTTAAAGAAAAGGAAATACTACCACAGAAATTGTTGCTGAACTCTATTCCAACCTATCTGTGCACTGAGATCATACTAGAAACACAAAGATCAGTTGTGCCTCTACCTTCCACTTTCCAAACTTCCACTTTTGTCTTCCTCCTAAGAGGCAGATGTAGCCCATGCTCTCAGAAAATACAGATCCAATTGTATGAGTGCTCAAATGTATCTTGCACGCATCTTGGGAGCTCCTGAAAAGTTACTCTGTGTATCCAGCTGGAGCATTTTAACCTGAAATTTAAAATAGAGCCTATTTTGCTCTGTGCCAGCTCGTTGAAAAAAAGCTTCAGATCGGCTCTACCCTTTCCCTCACATCTTTGCCACCTGAACTGGCATTAATAACAGCTGTACGTTGTTTGAAATGTTACAGTTTATGCATTTGGAAGTGTTTTGAACTCGCTAGGTTTGCCTTTGACTGAACCTGTGTGCTTTACTCCCCACAAATTTAAGTCAGAATGTGTGTTGTTGTCTCTTGGGCTTGTGTGCTTTCACTGGTTCGCTGGCCCAAGCATCCCTGAGATGCTCTAACCCCCAAAGATGGCAATTGTCAGTCTTAGTGAGCACAGGCAGAGAAAAAGCAAGCACTGAATTTTGTTTTATGGTTCTTTGTTATTCAAACATTCTTAAAATTAATCTCTGTGTAAACTCTCCCACAAGTTAAAGAAGATCATTTGGGTCACGTGGCTCTTTCAAAGATGCATCGTTTGTACATTTAGATTAAGCTGCACCTTAGAGCCATCTTCAAGAATGAGATTTTACTGCTTTATGTGTTCTTTTTTAAAAATAACAAAAAAAAAAAGTAAAATCTCATTCTGCACCAATACTGAGCTCAAATATTTGTGTTGTGAAAACAGTGAAGGGAAAAAGGTTTCAAAAATTGCTTAGTGGGCTAATTAAATATAACTTTCCTTCTGAGATGCGTCCTTGATATCTGTCAAGCAGTCAGTAACCTACAACCTCTTATTTTCTCCAGGAGCCAGGAACAGTCCTGAAGTCTTGTTAAAAGGAGTCTGTTTTTTCTCCTCTAGGTATAACTTCCCATCCCCTCCCCATCTGAAGCTCATAACTGATCTGAGCACAGAAAATCATCAGGTGTCAGAAAAAAAATGCCTGAAACAAATGAGGATCTGTCTAAGGAAGACTTCAAGGTGAGATGTTACAAGAAATCAGTGTAAGGACAATGTCTTACTCAAATTCACACCCTGAAAGTTTCTTTTAGGACGGGACAGCCACAACAGGAGGGAATTCTCACAAAAGGCAGAAGCGAAGGCAGGTCATAAATAGCTCACAAATCTCAGTGTGCTTTGACTGACAGGTTAATTTTTTTGACTACAGTTGTTCAAAATTCTTTCCATTACAGTTTTCTGAAATGACAACAAATTACTGAGTCCTCTTGTCTTAGAAGTGCCCACAGCAAAAACTTGGATTTACATTTTGATTTTATCCACTGAAGTATGTCTAGGATTAATTATGTACTACAACAGCAGCCTAAAACTCTTGTGGTGTTGAAATTGCAATTTGAGACATTACAGTGACTTTAAGGGGACACTTTCCATTCCTAAAATTTCCTAAGTAGTTTGCAACCAACTGCAAATTCCCATCAGAAACCCCAGTTCGGCTGTATGAGATATTCCTACAGACACTGGCAAAGCTACAAAGTTGAGCTTCTGTCAAATATAACTACTGTAGTCTGCAACAAATTTGTAATGTTGAGGTAGAGATTCCAATCTCCAGCCTGTGTGTGCTTATGTGAGGGGAATTTAATAAATTTTACAACACACTTGCATTAAAAAAATCACTATTAAGCTTGGGAAAAACCCCCCCACAACACTATTCCTTCATTCTTGCGTGCTTACTGATTTCTTCTGTGGCACTTTTGCTTCCAAGTTTATCCCTAAACTCTTGTAAGAAATCAACTGAAATTACCGGAATTTAAAGGCTCTCACTGCGTGGTTAATTTGTACTCGTACTCCCGTGGCAGATGCAGTGACCGCGCAGTGTCAGCTCCCCGGTGTCGGTAACCTCAGATCCAACAACCGGAACGCTAAAAATCCCTGTCACAGACCGGCGTGCAAGACAGCTCAGCACATGGTGACAGAATCACACCGACCGGTGCCTCTTAAATAATTCTGAGTTACTAAAAAATGTTTATCGTGAGAGTTTAGATATTTACTTTTACATGGCAGTCATCAGGAATCAAACGTAATTAGTGTTCATTATGCTGATTTTGATTTTGAAAGATTTATCCATATGGTAATATCGGATTGCTGTTGTAGCATAGGGGAGATAACTCAAACCCTGAATTCCAGTTTCGTTTATTTTGTCCATTTAAAGCACATTCTTAACCTTGGGCTGGTTTACTTCCTTTTTTTTTTTTTTTTTTTTTTTTTCTTTTGGTGCATTTACTTTTGCACTGAGTTAATTTGCTCTACTTAACCCACGGCTTACCGCAGCACAGGGGGTATTCTTAACTCTGCCGGTGTAATCTTTCTCAGACAAGCACCGGGCAATCTGCTGAATCAACGCAATCCCTAATCCGCAGGGTGTAATCCCGCAGCTGCTCGCTCCGGCGCCGTTATGTAATCCGGGCCGCGGCGGCGCCGCGCGGGGCGGCGATGCCGGGCCGGCTGTGTCGCGGTGTGTCTGTCGCTGTCGCTGTGTCTGTCGCGCTGTGTCGCGATGTGTCGCCGCTCGGGTGCCCGCGCGGGGGTCGCGCGCGCGCGCGCGGGGGGGCGGGGCCGCGCCCGTAGTACTCCAGCGCGCGCCGCCCGCCGCCGCCATTGGCCCCGCGCCGGCCGCGTGACGCGCGCGCGCGCCCCCCTCATGCTCCCTCCCGCCAACCCCCCCCACTCCCGCCGCGCTCCCGCGCAGCGACCCGCGCGCGCCGGCCCCGCGTCGCCAAGGGAACGGGAGCGGGAACGGGAGCGGGAACGGGCGGCGCGCGCGGGGCCGCGCGCGGGCGGCCCCCGTCCCTCCCCGTCCCCGCGCGGGGCGCGCGCAGGACGCCGGTGGCGCGGGCAGAGCAGGTACGTGAGGGGGGAGCCCCGGGGGGCGTGAGGGGAGCGCGGTGCGGGCCGTGCTCCGGCAGCGGGGCCGGGCCGTGCCCGAGCGGCGGGTCTGTGCCGTGCCCCGGCAGAGGGGCCGTGCCGTGCCCCGACGCAGGCAGCGGGTCGGTGCCGTGCTCGGTTGCGGGCGGCGGGTCGGTGCCGTGCCCCGGCAGAGGGGCCGTGCCGTGCCCCGTTGCGGGCGGCGGGTCGGTGCCGTGCCCCAGCGCGGCCGTGCTCGGCGCGGGTTCCCCGCTCGCTGCGCCCCCGGGGCCGGGCAGGGCGCCCGGCGGGCCCCCCCGCCGGCGGTGCCGCGGGAGCCGCTCCGCGCCGGGCAAAGTTTGGCGGCGGTGCCGCCTGGCCGGGGGCGCTCGGGACCCTGCGCGGGCTCCGCCGGGCCGGGCGGGCTGAGGGTCGCGGCCGGAGCGGCGTTACCCCCTCAGGGAGGGGGCCGAGGGGCTGCGGGGGCTCTGGGAACCCGCAGTACCTCCCACACCGCAGCCCCCGGCACCGCCGGTCGGCGGGGCCCCCGCGCCCCCGGACAGCTTAATGCCGTGCGGTTCCCGGGTACGGACGATGCCTGAGTCTGAAAGCTGCTTTTTATTCTCTGTGCGGGCAAACCCACCCAACGTGTGGTGCCTCGGCAGTGCCTTCACCGAGAGCGCTCCGAGTCTGTGAAGGTGCTGCAGCGCTCCTTGGAAACCCACCCGTCCCGGAGCAGCATCACTGCTTGCCCCAACCAGAAAATGAACCGTAGTTTCTGCTCTGAAGTTGAAATCTATTTAGAGTGCTCTTAACCGGGGAATTTTTGGTTTGCCTTCCATAAAAGTGTAATAAACTTGATAGGCCTTTTTTGTTATATTCGTAGAGGTGAAATCTAAATTGTGGGGATTGATGAGCTGTAACAGGACAACATATCATAGTAACTTTTCTTAAGGAGAACAGTCCGTGGATGTGCGTGGTTTCTAAGCTTGTTAGCTTGCTGAATTTTCAGGATAAGGTTCTGCTAAATGTGTCTCCAGCAGAATTTCTTGGTTTTTACGTGTGGGTTTGCGATCAAACCGATCTACAAGCTCCGTGTTAACTAGAGCACACACCTGACACCATTGTAACAGCTGCCAAAAATGGTATATATAAAAGAAGTAAAGTGAGTAACGATGTAGGGGTATTTACAGCTGTGAAGGCTCATTCTCTGCCACAGCAGAGAAGGCTCATTTGTCTGAACACAGGGCTTCTGTCATAGGCACACAGTCAGAAATTGCTGCTTTGTGGTCTGACTGCTGTTAGGAATCCTACTCTTTATGCAGGACTTATTGCTGGAATTTGCACAAAGAAGGGTAAGCAAACTGTGTTCTTTTAATGTGCTGTATAACATTATTACCCAAGTGTGGATGGGGGGACACAATACTGATAGTTATTTTTTGGTAGTTCTCGTGAAGATGCTGCAAGTTCCTGCAGGACACTTGTAAAATGGTTATTACTGACACGGTCACGTTAGGTGGGGATTGTAAATTAGACCATGCAATAGTAGCACATAAGTGTTCTGCAACGAGATACCACCATTAACACAGGGCAGCAAGTATCTTATGTGGGAAAAGCCATTCCTCGATGTTGAGAACAGTGTCTGGATTGTGGGGCAGCCTCCTCTGTGCGGGGAAGGGGGGGGAATACTTCTCATTTACAGAGGATGTGGACTAAGAACAAGTGTGTCCTGCTTCAAACGTGTTGTGGTTCCTAAATGCAGAGAGAGTGTGTTTGCAGTCAGGGAAGGGACTGTGTGAACCAAGAACCCATTCCCGAAGCAGTTCCTACTCATTCCTACATGTTTCTGAAGGAAGTGGAGTTTTTGCTCCTCTGTCCTGATGCTACCCACTGGATTGCAAAACTCACTTGTTCACTGCAAGGTGGGGATTTTGCCCGAAGGGCGAAAAGAGGTGGAAGTTGCACACAAAGTTAGATGGGTAGTAATTGTGCTAAAGGCAGCAGTGGACAAAGAGAACATGTAGCAAGAGTACACATCAGCTATTTCAGTCGGAACTGGAGGAGTAGGTGAGATAAAGATCTTCACTCCAACCGGTGTATGAAAAGGTCAGTAAGAAAATTAAGATGTGAGCTATGTGTGCCTGCAGTGTGAGTACCAGTGCAAGCCTGCTACTGAGCTCAGGTATTTTCAGATTGTGACTGACAGCATCAGTGCAGAACACAGCACGCAGCGTAGCTGTTTTCCCTGTCCCTGTGTCTGTTCCCAAAGGTTAGTTGGGTCTAGGCATGATTGCGGCTCTGAAGGTGCCCTGTACAAGGTGCTCAATACACTTCCCTCTCCAGGCCCCCTGTACTGTTGTGCTGTTACTCCAGGTTGGGGTCGGGGGTGACTCCCCCACCCCTGGGTCCCTGGCAGCTGCTGTTCCGCCTCTCGTGGTCTCCACGCTGCGGAGCCCGACTCTGCAGTGATGTTGCATCACAGATCACTTTAGGCACAGAGGGACAGGACTGGCAAAACCTCCAGCACCATGAAGCCCATGGTTCCAGTGTTATTACCCGTGATTGTGTCCAAATTAGGAGGAGGAACTGCATTGCCCTGCTAGATCCTGACACGACTAAAATTCACCTATATCATCAGTATCTGTTTAAATTAGTTGCATTACCTGGCAATAGCACAACAATTAATTGAATTGTGTTATGCAGTATAAAACTATCTGCATAGTCTATCAGAGCGACAAACGAGATGTTATTTCCATATAGTGGTGCTCAGCTAATCTGCTTCCTGGACAATGGGATTACCTAACAGTCAAAATACTTAATCCTTACGAGCACTGCAGAACCAATATTGACATAGGAGAGTGAGCTGGAGTCCTTTCTGCCGCATGTATTATCATCAGAAGTGTCAAATACATGCTATTTGAGCAATCATCGTTGCTGGTTGGTATATGAGAGGAGGACTGAGGTTTGATTCCTCCTTTTCCTCTCCTCGCTGGTTCTAGAGTGATACTGTGTGCTGGTGAAACATGTTTGCCACCCTCGTTTTGGGTTTTGTGATATGAGGGGTAAGTCTGGAATCTGCAGCGTCAGAACATGGAGAGTTTGGGATTTTTTGACTTGGAAAAAATTTCTGAACTCTGACAGTACTTTTGGGAGTATCTCTGTAGTATAGGTGGACATGAGCACACTTGTTGAAACACTGTCCTCAAGAGAAAAACAGTTAAAGTTGGCTTCTTATCACTGTGGGGTAGAACGTGGCTGCTGTTCATTCTTTGGCTCCAGAGGTTGCTGCCCAAGGTGAATTGAAGCCTTTCTTCCACCAAGTTCTTGGGTGGTGCGTTGTGGATGAAGGTGGCAGGGTTACTTCAGCCTCTCTCATATTTCAGCCCATCTGTTTGCTGGGCTTAGGATTTGGTGTGACAAGTGTGATGTATTAGGGTTTAATTCTTAATTTAGTTATGAGTTCCCAATGAGCTCTGTTACCTCCATACAGTCCTGCTGCAGTCGCTGCTTTTGCATGAGGAGAATCAAGACAGGCCTTCTTGTAAGCTCAAGCAGCAGTGGAGGTCTTCTAATCATACTTTTGTCCTTGACTAAGCATTGTAAAATGCAGTATCAGCTCATCCCTTGCTTTATCCAAAATAATAATATTTGCAGCATGAACAGGTTCTCCCTGTCTCAATTTTCATTTTTTCGTTTTGTCTCATCTAGGGTTCATTGTTTCTCTGATGTGTTTCCACTAAAATTTCTTGGTGGCAATTATTGTGTCTCTCCTTGCATCCTGTAAAGCACCACGTGCCCCTGTGGCGTTACACACAAAGGAAAATGCATTTTAAATGTTATGTTCAAATATACTGGTTGCAAAGTCACACCTGCAAGTCAGCAGATGTTTGATTTGGGGTTCTGCAGATACAGTTGTGTGTTGTGAGCCACCCTGGTATCAATGAGCCAATGATTTTCAGGAAAAATAATGTGTGATCTTAACAGTTAGGAAGAGGATTAATGCAAATGGAGCTAAAGGCCTGTGCTGTTTTAAACGTGCTGCTTCCTAATCTTTAAGAGCTTTAATTTCAACCCAAGTAACCTTCTTGCAAATTAGTTTCTCACACAGAACTTACTGGTATTGTGAGGTTTAGTCCCCTTTGTTTTGGCTTTGCTTTTTCTTTTTAATGATGTTGCATGGGGGTATAAACTTCCCCTGTTGACCTTAAAAAAATCCCTAAATGGGATTTGAGCCTTCAGTGGTGGTTTCTAATTCAGGTAACTGCCTTACTTGGTAAGTTCATGCCCGTTTGGGTTCTTTTTTGTTTTTTTTTGAGAGGCCACCAAACACTTGATTAAAAAAAGCAAGCAGGAATAGGAAAACAGTTCAGTTTAACTTGAATGGATTGCCATGAGACAAAGAGCATCTCTGCTATTCCAGGGAACTTCAAAGGCTGCCTGCAGATGAGGCAAGTGTCAGAGCTTCTCAGAAAAGTTGTGAAAGTCTTTGTAGTGGAAAGTGTTATGTGTCTGATATTTAAGTGTGCCTACCAGCTTTTTCCACTAATAGAAAACGAAATTTCATGTCCAAAAATAGCAAAATGCAAGTTTTATTGAAGTTGGTGAGACTTTTGCTGTTGAATTATTTTGTCATTTTGCCTTCCGTGCTTTTGTTCAAGTCTATCAAATAATT